GTAATTACATAACATAACACTCTATTGTTTGGGGTTGTTTTGTTAAATTATTTTCTCCCTTTATCCCCATCCCCACTCCCATAGACATGCACCTTAGTATTTAATGTGTCCCTCTAGTCTGTCTACCTTCTATATAGTTAACTAGATTTTTTGAATCTTTGAACGATATGTAGGATTGCTTTGAGTGTGTTCTTAAAATGTAAAATATTCATTGTTTATCATTCTGATTATTTTTACTGTATGTTTTTGAGATCTATTTTTGCTGCTGCATATAAATCTAATTCATAGATTGCATCAAAATACACCATTTTATTGATATTCATTCAATATTTTACCTACCATTTCACCATGTACAAAAAGTTTAAAGCTTTGCTAATTTAATAGTCATATTTAGTCTTCTAGTTATTTTTGCTGCATAGTAGAGCATCCCTTAGAGGCTTAAGGTAATGACAATCCTTTTATTTTATTCACAAATCTGCAATTTGGACTGGAATTGGCAGAGACAGCTCATCTCTGCTCCATGCAGTATCAGCTGGAGCTGGCAGTGACTCAGCTGGTTGGGACTGGAGTCACCTGAAGCCTCAGTCAGTCACATCTAGTAGTTAATGTTGGCTGTTGGTTAGGCCCTCAGCTGGGCTATTTGCTGGAGCACCTATACACGACTTGTCCCTGTAGCTGCTTGACTGCCACACAGTGTGGTGACTCAGTTCCAGGATCAGTTGTCCCAAGAGAGCAAGGCAGAAATTCATGGGTTTCGTATGACCTTGTCTTAAAGCCACATGGAGTCACTTCCACTGTACCCTGTTGGTTGAGGAGGACACAGAGGTCTTACCAGGTTCATGGGGAGAAAACGTAGACCTCACCACCCAGTGGAAGAAATGATAATGTCACATGGTCAAAAAAAAAAAACGTTGGATGGAATATATTGTGGTGTCCATCTTTGGAAAAGCAATCTGCCACATTTGTGAAAATTTAAAATCTGATTTGAGTATTAACAGAATTTGATTTTGAGACTGATTAGCAAAAATTTTTAACTGTAAAATTACAACTTTTTTTATTGTCCAAATACACTCTTTCTTTTTGGACAGAGTACTGGATTGTGACCAACAAACTCTTGCTCCCTGTATCCCTAGAATTTTTTTCTAAGGTTATCAGTATCTTTCCCCTTGGTCCTTACTTTTTATGTGATCAGTGTAACAGATGAGACCAACCAGTTTTTAGAATATGATTGCATAAACCTGTGTACACCTTGGGTGTCATAAGGAGAAATTGATTTTTTTTTCTCCAGAAAATACATCTTAAGAGAAAGAAATAGTAACTAGTTCTCAGCCCCTTTCTCCTTTTATTTTGTGCTGTTGACCAAAGGGTCTTTTATGTACTGGATATTCTGATTAGATACCCTCAAAACAGAGTGACTATTCTGAGAGCTTATTGTCTCCATCACTATAGAGTAGATACATAATTTTTGCAGTCCTTGTGCTTTTTTTCTCTGACCTCTTCTCTCCTGAGACTATGAAATATGATGGTGCTTGAGGAAAATACTGCCAACATAGCTCTGCCTTTCTTAAGGTGATAGGATGTGAGGAGAATGGGGAAAGTATTCTAGCAATCAGTAGGTCAAGAAAAGGTTGTTGTTGAGTTCATCCAGCCCTACCAAGTCTTGATTTCTGTGTATCATTTTAGCTGTTTCCCTCAATATCCAGAAAGACCATAGCCAGATGGATGATAATGCAGAACACAGCAGTGTTTCCCTTTTAGTTACATAAAGTTTCCACCAAAGCAGAAAGTCATAGCTAAAAAAAAATGTGATGTGAGGATGGTCCAGTTAAGTGCATCCCTTTCTTCTTGAATCTCTACGCCAAGATGAGACCAGTCTTGAGCGTTTGTTTTCTTCCTTTGTTTGTTTAGTAGAAATTTTCAAGTGTATACAAAAGTAATGAGAACAGTATAGTGAACTCCCGTGTACCTGTACCCTAACTTCAGCAGTTATCAGCTCAAGGCTAATCCTGGGATGTGTGCTCTCCACTTCCCTTCCGCAAATGTATTTTAAATGCATTATTTTAAAGCAGAATCTTGATATTATTTTATCTATAAATACATCAATATGTATGTGTAAAAGAGACTCCTTATAACCACAGTAACATCACACACTTAAAAATTAGCACTTCTGGGGGCTGTTGAAACATGCAAAAAGTGTGTCTGTAATTGGAGAGAATGAAGCAAAAATATATAACATGAAAAAGGAAATGAGTTTAATCTCCAAAGTCCTAGAAGAGGTTTCGGGTCTGTGTTTCATATTGAGAGCCACACCCTGTCTTTCTGTCCCTCTAATAAATCCCCTCCTTTTGTGGTAAGACTGGTTTAAGTCATGATTAATACTACTGCTATCTGGATAGCTATTGTTCCTCTTTTTTTCTCTCCATACTCTGATTTCTCACACCACTCAATTTAGTTATAACACTAATGACATCAGCTCCCATTTATTGAATGCCTATCACGTACCAGACACTCTACCAAGAATGTGACATTTAAACCTCGCAACAACCCACTGAAGATGGTAATTTCCCTGTCTTGTGGAGCAAGAATTGCGGATTTACATGGATGAGGTCATTTGTTTGGGTTACACAGTTAATAAATGTGGAGCCAAAATCCTGCCGGATCTTTTTAATCCTCAGCCCATGTTCCCACTCTGTCATGCTGGACCTAACAGCGTGACTTTTCTTTCCTAAAAACAATGCAGTTTTGTAGCATCAAACTGTGACTTGTTCATGGAAGCGTTTCCTCGTCTCCCTAGGCACCTGACCAGACTCCTTTGTTGCGGTTAGGCTTAGTCATGTGGCTGGGTTCCACCTGTGAAATGTGGACAGAAGAGATGTGCCCTGTTTCTTGACCAGGCCCAGTAAAACTTTCCATTTGCTGTCCTCTATGCTCTGCTTCTGATATCCAGTTTATGATGCCTAAAGTGACCTTGGAAACCACAAGTTGACCATGGCAAAAACTGACAGCCTGTGTCCCTGAGTGATTATGCAATAGAGGCCCCTGCCACCAATCTCAAGCCTTCCTGAACTGTTTATATGAGCAGGCGATAAACTTCTCTTGTATTTAAGCCATTACGTATTTCGGGATCTATTTATTAGAGAAGTTAGCCTTCCTTAATTTTTATGTACTGTTTCAGTTATCCTTTGCTGGGTAACAAACCACCTCAAAATTTCAGTGGCTTAAAACCATAGGCTTACCTCATGATTCTGTGAATCAGAAACTTAGACTTTTGCCTATACTTGCATGTAGCTACAACCAGCAGGTGGGTCAACAGGGGGCTGATTGGTCTAGCATTGCCTTACTCACATGTCTGGAGATGAGAGCTGGCTGCTGGCTGCTGGCTGCTGGCTGTGCCACGTGTCTCCAGCAGGTTTGCCTGGGATTATTCACATCATAGTGGAAGTGTTCTCAGCAGCAAGAGGGCAAGCCGCAATCTGCAAGTACTTTTCAGGCTTCTGCTTTTGTGTGTTTGCCAGTATATCATTATCCAACACAAGTCACATAGGTAGAGGGAAATGTAATTTATTGGGAAGCATTTACTGCAGCAATCTACCATACATACTACAGTACTAGTGCACAATTAGGCAAATCATTCACATATATACAACATCTCAGTTGCATATTTGATTATAGAGTCCAGCTTCTGAGGCTATTTTCATATCCCCTGAATCAAGTTCTAATATCAGTGTTTTAATAAATAGTACACTGGTCTTGTTTTAAAATTGCATTTCAGTTCTGTATATAAAAATGAAATATTTACCAATACATGATAAATTTAGATTAATAGAATTGGCACTATAGCAATGATGTTGTAGCTTATGGTCCAAATTTACCTGAGATTTAATGGATCCCCTTTCTCAAGGTTCTGTGCATTTGTAACCAAATCTTTGCTTTAAAGCAGTCTTTAAAGGGCTAACCTTAGATTCACCCTTATTTAGAGTAACTTTTAAATAAATGATTAAGTTACAAGTTCAGCATTTCCTCACTTTCCTATAACTTTTCCTTTATTCGGTCATACTAATCCCCTGCGAGGGCAAGATGCTCTCTCCCATTGCTCAGGGCCAAGCACTCTGCAGTGCTTTCCCCACATGATGTTACTGACGTGAGAAGTAGTGCGGTGGGTAAAAGCCAGAGTGCTGGACCCCAGGTTCACATCCTGTGGTTTCTGCTTGTTGTGTGACCCCGGGCAGTTTAGTTACTTGGTGCCTCAGTTTCTTCACCTATAAAATGGGGATAATTACCACAACTTGCCTCTTAGGACTGTTGTGAGAATTAAATGAGATAAAGTATCTTAAAAAGCCCTTAGTTCAGAGCCTAGCCCAGAAGAAGTCATGCTGGTTTTCTTTTTCTTTTTTTTTTAATTTCAGCTTCATTGAGGTATAATTGACAATTTTATTTTTAATTACTTTTCAGACCTATATGAGAATGAAATCTTACACATAAATTTAGATTTGTAGGAGATTGCCTATTTTCTTAGAGGCATGCTAAAATATTGAGGTTAAAGGCTTATGATGTATATGACTTACTTTCAAATGCTATAGTGAAAAGAAAAAATACACTAAAAATATACAGAGAAAGATAAATATGGTAAAATTTTAATACTTGTTAATATATGTAGGATACAAATTTCATTATATTATTTCAAGTTTTCTGTAGGTTTAACATTTTTCATAATAAAATTTGGAGGGAGGATGGAAATACTTTTCCCATTTCTCACAATCTCCCGTTTCTCTTTTCATTCTTTTTTCCTCCCCGTCTCCTATCTCCCCCAAATTGTCTCTCAAATCTCTCCCAAGCAGGGCCTCTTGTCTCTCCTCAGCTACAGGTTATCTCCTCATTATGTACTTAGGAATAGCAGCAGTGCAGCATGAGTGCTGAACCATGCTGACTCTGGAGCCAGGTTGTCTGTGTTGGAATATCTGCCATCTAACCTAGAGTGTGACCTTGGGTGACTTCCTTTAAACCCTCTGCAGCTCAGTTTCCTCAGCCTCATAGGGTTATCGTGAGGAGTGAAGAAACAGTGAGTATCTATAAACAGTTAGAAGAGGGTCTGGTGTATTGTGAACCTCCTAGGAATTTGCCATAATTCTAAAAATCTCTTCTTGTCCCTGGCTTCTCTCCTGTTTAGCAGTGATGGGCCCTGGAGCCTTTCTCCTGAGGAGAGGGAGTTGTTGGGGAGAGACTGCAAATGCTTCTTACTTAATTCCTTTCTTTCTTTCTTTTTTTCCTTTTTGAACACAAAAGGAGTTGAAAATGGTCAAAGATCCTCCTGAAAAAATGCTTCCACATTTTGAATAAATATATTCTACTTTGTTTTTGCTTTCCCATTTCCCCCTGAAGAGATAATTATTTAACAATAAAATTTTGCATTGACTCTGGATGCTGATAGTGGCATCAGCACCCTACCCCTGACCTCACAAGCCCATCTAGCCTGCACCTGTCTTCTCTCTTACTCTTGAAACGGCGAAGCCCTCTTCCCATATGAAGTTCAGTCTCTCACCTATGCTGGAGATCCCAGCGACCTCACCATCTCAGAAGTCCTGCATTCTCAATTACTCCTCTTTTGTACCCACCTCTCCTTCCCAATTACATCTTTCCCACCAACATTTCGCTCCTTCTCATCTTAAGTCAGACGAGGTAACCCTCCGTAGATTCCATATCCCTTTTGAGCTACTGTCCTATCTTCTCCTTCACGTGATATTTCTTGAAAGATATCCTCATCTTCCAGTTACTTCTCAACCCACTCGGGCCTGGCTTCCCTGCTGTCAGCGTAACAGAACAGCTGTTACTAAGGTGACCCATAACCTTATGTCACTAAATCCACAGGCATTTTTCAGGACTTACCTTACTTTGACTTACAAAAATATTCAATAGTGTTGACTTACTGAACTCCTTATTGAAACTTTTTAAAAGATATTTACATGTGGTTTTTTTAATTTAATTTTTTAGGTGGTGGGAGGGAGGTAAATAGGTTTCATTTACTTGTTTTGTTTTGTTTTTAGAGGAGGTACTGGGAATTGAACCCAGGACCTCGTGCATGCTAAGCATTTGCTCTACCACTTTGGACTATATCCTGCCCCCTTATTGAAACTTTTTTATTCACCATTGGCTATCTGTTGTTCTGTGAAGAACAAAGCACTGTGTCTCTGACCCAGGAGTCTCATGTCTGATGCTGGCATCCAGGAAACAGTGTCTAACTTATTACATAACTTATGAGTAGGGTAAAGTCAAATCCCAGACATGACACTAAGCATTGTATGCCTAGCAGCCCCATAGTGCCTGGCGTGAAGTACATGTTCTGTATTTATTTGTGAGGTGGGTGGATGCCGAGACATTGCAGGGATCAAGCCCTGTCAGAACAGACACCTGTGTTCTGGGATTGTGGGGGAGACAGCTGAGGGAACACGAAGGTTAATTTGATCTGAAGTCTCTCTGGATTTTGTGTTTAACTGGAGAGTATTTTGATCAGTCAGCTTCTCTTCTGATACGTAAACCATCCGACACGGGTAATCCTGTTAGTTCCATCTTACTCTGAATTACTTGAATTGATGTTACGTCCTAACATTTAGCTGAGTTTAGCAGTGGTACATGAGGAGGGCTGATGTGGGAGGTAGGGCAGCCTGGGGTGGGCAGAGGCCTGGGTTCTGTTTCAAAGGGGGAATTCTGGATATTCCTAGGTTTCTTGGAGTGGGTGTGTGGGTGAGGGAAGCTAGAAGTGAAAAGGGGCAGTGGGACAACAGCAAAGGCAAACTTGGTCGGCCTTGAGACCTCCCCAAAGCTTGGGAGCAGTAGCTGGAGACACGCCATAGAAGTTCATCTCTGAAGCTGCTGATGCCAGAATGCTTCAGACTGTAACTGTCTCTGTTAGTATAGACTGTTTGCCTTTTGCAAATACCATTTTTTAAAGTGACATAAGCAAGTTTTTGCACATAGAGTAAAATTGTTTTCAGGACAGATAAAAGAGTAGAAAGAAGGAATGAGAACATTAAATTTGTAACTGTTAAGATTTTTTAAATTAGAAGTTGAATAAAGTGTAGAAAGGCTAACAGCCTTTAGAGTGACAGAGGGGTTCTTGGAGTTGGCAAACATGGCAAGAATTATCTAGGCTTTGACTCTCTGCAGGAGGGATATCACCCCTAAGTGGGGGTAAAAATTGGTCCTTAGGGGACAGAAAAAAACCTTAGTTATTCAGTGGCCTACATGGCCAGAGTACCTAAACAGAAATGTAGCGCATTTGTGGTATTAAAATTTCATGGTGGGAGGGGGGGATTAAGGGAAAATGTCTTAAAGTCTCCTTACTGGGGCGATAATGAAAAAAAGATTGAGAAACACTGGACTAGATGATTCAAATGGAAGGATTTTTTTGACCACCAATGGGTCCTCCTGGGGAAATGAATTGGAAATGTGTTGTCTCAGCAGAAGGAAAAGATCTTACACGTTGTCTAGTGAGTGTCCATTGGGAGATCTAAAAGCAGCAGTGAGCAGCTGGGTCACCCCCTCAGCTGTTCAGTAGGTGATAAGCTGCTGGCTCCATATAGCTTCAGTGCCCAGACACACAGGGCCAGCTCCTGGACACAGCAAACGGAAGGTATGAATCGGGGTGGGAGTCAGGATTCTAGGAGTTAAACCACCCGCCTTCTACCCTCCTGATTTATTTTGTTCTGTTCTGTTCTGTTCTTACCTGCCTCCCTCCCTACTCCTCTCCTGCTAGCTCTCAAGACTCCCATTATTCACCTTTGCTGGAGGCCAGGGGATCAATAGCAAAGTTAATGAGTGAATGAAAAGAATGCTAGAAACAGAGAACCACAAGCTGACATCCAAGAAAGAACTGACGTTCAGCCGTATGGTTTTAGTGTGCAAAGCCAAGTAATGCACTCTAACATCTCTGAAATCAAATCAAAATGCAGATAGGCTTTTAGCTTTCCTGCTTCTGAGTATAACCTGGACATGCAATTCCTTAACAAAATAAAAATGAAGACAATGTCAGATACAGGAAAAGGTTAGTTCTTAACCCACAGGTACTCAGCCTTGGAAATGACTTCTGGTCTCTGAGATGCTTAACTGTCTAGACTGCTCTCAGCTTGAAAATGGCAGTGTTGTCTCAGAGGGGCTCTTAAGGAGGGGAAGGATGGCCTGGCAAGGTCCCCTCTTTTCTGTTGCCTTATCCCTCGTGCTCATTAAGGTAGTGCTAGAGGGAAAAAGTCTGATAGCAAAAGTTGCTACTTCTGGAGTCCTTACTACATGTCAGGCACTGTTTTAAGTGCTTTATATATATATTAATTAATTGACTCCTCATAACCAAACCACCCTGCAAAGAGGCGGGGATGGGATGGGAAGCTCAGGCACAGAAAAGCTAAGTCACCTGTCCAAGGTCACACAGCTACTGGTAGCACTGGAATTTGAACCCAGATTCTTAGAACCCAGAGAACTTGCTGTAACAGTGCCCTTTAAATGCCTTGGGGCCAACTCTCCCTAACTTACCAATGTCTTTGAAGTCGTGGATGAATGGGTTCACAATGAAATTGCTTTTAACACCATGCACTTTGGTTTTTTATGTAAGTAGAATGTTGGGTCATTCATCAAGCCCTCTGCATGGTTGAATCCTTCAGGTCACTTACATAATGGACTAATTGCTGGATATGTGCTGCCCTCTTGTGATAAGAATGATCCAAATACGACCTTCTCCAGCTTTCTGGAATGCACCTTCCTTTGGTCCTGTCCCGTGGTTGGTGGGTGGAGAATGTGTGGCCCATGAAGATACTTTGGGCTCTGAAGAGTCAGACTCCTGTGTCACCTGACATTCTCCAGGGTGTTCCTGGCTCTTCAGTAAGGCTTGTAAATGTGACTCCAAAGTCCTGTAACTTAGCACCATGGGTATAAGAGAAAAGACTAGGCTTTCCAAAGAATCCCAGGGACATTAAAGAGACCCCACCTATGTCCTTCTGGGGAGAGTTCACTTTGTTTAACTTGCCCTAGTTGATTGGGACCAGGTTTCATAGACTTCGCAGAAAAAAGGTCAGTTGGAGAATTAGCTGAAGGTCACCGGCTATCAGAACAGAGGGAAAATGAAACCAGCCGGAGGCCTGCATTCTAGTTCTTGCTCTACCAATGATGACGTGTGTGATCTTGGGCAGGTTGCTTTTGATCTCTGACTCCAGTGTCCACACTGGCAGAGTGAGAGGGTTGAACTCTAAGTGAGCTCAAAATCTTAAATATTATCAGGTGCAACCTTCTGCCTTTGCCAAAATCCCTTTCCTGAAGGGTTTTGCTTTTTTTTCTCCCTCCGCTTTTATTCACATCCTCATTAGTAAGACAAGATACATATTCATACTCACTACTTTTCCATTTCCTCACCCAGGAAGTAATCCCTACTTCACAGAGTGGTTGGAAGGAACTAGTTCCCATTTGACCCAGTGCCAGTGGGTTCAGTGAGACTGGGCTTGTTTAGGCAAAGCAAATTATGCACATATACAGATGTTTAAGGTCAAGGAAAACTGATTTTGAAGATACACCTACCCAGTTACGAGTGATTATCTTGCACAGTGCCACTTGCAAATAGATGCCACTGTATGGGTTACTCATTCAGCCCCACAGCTGTTATTACCAGTGCCCATCTGTGGCTGTAACACATCTGTGTGTGTGGGCAGTGCCCGAACACTGTCTAGAGTGGGAGTCTGGGGCAGGGAATCTCATTCGCATTCAAAGGAGACAATACATTGTTCTCTAACTTCCACCTGCTTCCAAACCATTTATTAGACTCCTAAACTGGACAGGTTAACAGACTGAAAAAGAAATAAAATTTCATAGCAAGAATCTTTGACTTGCTAATCCCACTCCAAAGAAATAATCCTGAAGAAATATTTACTTCCATACAAATGTCTGTAATAATCACCATGACCACCACAACCAATCTGGAAACCTGAATGTCTAACACTTGGCACATAATTAAGCAAATTATGAAACCAGTAGAATACAAATGGTAACTATAAAGATTATGTAACAATGAGAAAATGATTGAAAGAAATTGCAAATATACAGCGTGATTATAACTCTGTAAAAAGTCTCAAAATATTTAGCCTTAAAAAAGAAGGAAATCATATGAAACTTGAGGACATCATGCTAAGTGCAATAAGCCAGTCCCCGAAAGGCAAATATTGTATGGCTCCACTTGTGTGAGGGACCTAGACTAGTCAAAGTCATAGAGACAAAGTAGAAGGGTGGTTGCCAGGGGCTGGGGGGTGAGGGGGTGGGAAACAGGGAATTGTTGTTTAATGGGTATAGAGTTTTGGTTTTGCTAGAATAATAATTCCGGAGATGGGCATTGGTGATAGTTACACAACATACGGAAGTGTTTATACCACTGAACACTGATTCAAATGGTATATTATGTGTATTTCACCATATAAAGAAGTCTCAAAGTAGGCAATACAGGGGAAGATGGCATAAAAAATTAAAGTAGCTGTGTTAGCATTATTATAAGTATTATCTAAAAATTTTTTAAATATTGTGATACTGCTTTTATAACAAATATAATACTGACAAGGGGAAAAAAGTCAGGGAAAAAATTTCAAGATATTTTGATATGTATTAATTTGCCCCAAAATGCAACCTAGTAGTTGTGGGAAAAATCATAAACCTGTTTAACATTCTTGCACTTTTTATAATTTACTATTGTTTAAAACCTCTTTTATTACAGATCATTGGGGGCCTGTAACCTTTTCAGTGCTCAGTGCTTCTAAAAGTTTTAAGCTGGGTCTTGGGTGCAGTTAATTCAGTTAGTTTCAAGGTTGCCAGAATCTCGCTGATGGCCCCTGGACCCTGCAGCTCTGCTACAAACCCATGTATGTGAATATGAGCTTTGGCCTCCTCACCAGCTATTTCCACTTTCATTAAAATTCCTCTCTATGGACCTGGGAGAATGGTCATGGTTTGGCCTTTTCAGCTCCAGAGCAAGGATTTTTTTTTTTTCTGTAAGTGAGCAGTTGGGTTACTGGAAATAGACATGTGTCACACCTGGAAGTGGACCAAAACAGACGAGCCATGTGCTCCTTTCCAACTGGGAAGCTTAAAGGGACACCTGGCAAAGGCTGGAGGGCCTGGCTGTGTGTGGTGATGCCAGCTCCCACTCTATTCTTTACTGGGCAGTGAAGACGGGGCTGCGCCTCCCTCTGTTCAGTGAATAACACTTAAATGGCAGGGCTCTTTGGTAAGAATGACAACTAATGGCTGTGCTTTTCACTGGCGAAGCTAGGATATGCAGGAAGCTTAATGTTGAATGTTTTTAAACTTGACTTTGAGAACTTCTAGTCCCATATTTGACCTTGTTGGAAAGTTCTCTAAGCTTAAGAGTGAGAAGAGGATACCTAGGGGTTCCACTGTGAGTGGAAATGAGAAATGTCGGCTTTATAATACACTGTCACATATTGAGCAGCAACCCTGCGCCCGGCACTGTACTGACGGCTTTCCAAGCATCGGTTCATTCAATCCTCACAACAACTCTGTGAGTTGGGACTCTGGGATCCCCATTTTTCAAGGAGGAAATTGAGATTCTAACGTCTTAGGACGTTGGCCCAAAGCCCCACGGTGACATGACATGGCTTATTTTATAAGTTCCAAATCAGCATGGACATGCAATAAATGCAGGTCTGAAAGACAGGAGTTGTAATTTCTTTCCCTAAATCAACCAACATGTCCTGTGGAAAGAAAATCATATCCTAAGTTGGGGGCATTCTTTTCTTTTCTTTTTCTTTATTTTTTTCAATTTTCAATTGTCTTTTTCTTGATTAGGAAAAGTCTCCACGTCTCTGCACAGAAGCTCACCTGTGGTTAATGGAGAACCTTTCCAGCAAGTTAGGAGTCTGATTGCACTTTTATAAGAGACATAGAAAATCTACCGGTCACCATCGTGGATACCAAAGTATTTCCAAGTTAGAATTTAAGCCAATGCCACACGGATTTCAATTTCCCTTAGAAGCAGCAGTTTTAATTTTGATAGTCTCTAAAAGTAATAATATTTGGTAGTTTCTGAGTACATTATAACTCTCAAAAGTTTAGTTTTAGCAGTTTAATAAAATACGTATTTGTCAGCTGAGAAGTGTGGTTCTCTCACTCAGCAGGTCTGAAGCCTGTTCTAAGCACCTTTGGTCTTCAGTTTGCCTTTGTGCTTTCTGGGCATATCTGCTGCCCAGATTCTCTGGTAGAGTTGCTTCCTCAAGGGGTGACTACCCAAATCTGGGGTAGAGAGGGGTGGGTGGCAGAGCAGTACCTCAAGGGAATGGCCACCCTGTGGCTGAGTGACTGTACTGGATTTTCCCTATAACTTTCAGAGCTAACTTCCTGAATTGCACCTTTCCTAACAGGGGCTGCTGTACACAGTGCCAGGCTGGACTTCTCAGGACTCGAAGGTATGTATGTAGGGGCCCCTCATCCCCGCCCCTCTCATGCTTGGCCCCTGTCTGCTCAATGCCTCCTGCCACAGTGGGTGACAGGCCCACCTCGGTCTTCCACTAAGCAGGGGTTAGCCAAGGAGGGTAGTGGACATTAAAGCTGGCCTGCCAGGACCCAAGATGGCAGTGGTGAGGGACATGAAGTTTGGCCACGCCAGTGTACCCTGGCCCCAGCCACCCCGAACTCGTCATTTCCTCTGTGAAGCCACCTGTGTGGATCGGGAGGTCAGATAGGGAGTCCTCAGATGATTCCTCTGCTCTTTTTGGTCCCTTGGTAGGTGGAGAGGCCTATGGAGGGTCACACTGCTAATGCCTCCGGCCTTCCTTTGTCAGGCCCTCCTCACAGCACATGACCCCAGGGCCCCACCCAAAGCTGTGAGTGCCTCTGAAGGGAGCCAGGCATGGCGTTCGGGGGTCACAGCGTGCTTGCCAGGCTCAATCCCCTTAAAAAAAAATCAGCCTCAGGCAATTAGGAACAGTGTTTTCAGTATTTTACTAACAAATGAATTGGCAAAAGAACAAGTTATCTAGTAATACCACCCCACCATTTGGCATCCATCACATGCCCACCACGACAGCAGGCGTCTAACGTGTTCTGCCAGCCAGGTTCTCAGTGACTCCCGAGTCTTGCCTCCAACTCAATACCCCTCACAACTGCTCAGCAGCAGGAAGAGTCCCCTTCCTCAGGAGGGCAAGAGAGATAAGCCTCTCTCTGGATGCCAGGGCCCCTGGAGCAAGCCGGGACTCATTGCTGGTGGAGGACGGCACTGAGCCTTCTTCCTGGAGCAGAGCACCTCTACCCGCAGCATCAGTCTTCCGGAGGGCAGCAGTGCCACACGAAAGCCCTCAGTGGAGCCCCAGCATTACAAAGACATAGGTAAAACACTTTTGTTTGTTGAGCACCTTTTCCCCAAGAAATGTGGCACCCCATGTCTTCAACTCTTCAGTGAACACAGTATTGCCCGACTCACTTTCCCAGGTCTTAGAGCAGGCGTTTGTATGAGCTCAAAGTCTCTTTCCTCTAGTTTCAGATGAAAATAGTCATGGCTATGCATTAACATCTCTTCATAGTATAGTTACAGTCACTGAAACAGCTCATGTTTGTCCTGCAGAATTGTAACAGCTACTCAGGGACTTTGCCAGTCAGCACTCGGACGAAGGTTGATTTGCACCATGAAGGCAGGGCTCCTGGAAGTCCCACCGCAGCAGACCTTGGAGGTCTTTCATTCATCCAAGACATGCAGCTGCACAGAGTTGCCTCCAGGGCCAAAACCCACCAACAGGAAAACAGCCTCTCAGAAATAGACAATCCGCTTCTCATCTTCAAATACTTTGGCCTCCTCTGGCTTTATCAAGTTCCCATTTAAGCTGTTGGAGAAGAACAAAGAACACAAGTAAGTGTGAGGGGCTACTGTGCACTCCTTCCCAACATGTGTTCCAAACACACTCATGTGCTTCACACAACCCTGAAATTACAGAACATGCTCTGTTTGAATACTTGGGGTTTTTTTCCTTTTTCTTTAATTGAAGTCTAGTTGATTTACAGTATTGTGTCAGTTTCAGGTATACAGCATAGTGATTCAGTATTTTTGCAGTTTATATTCAATTATAGGTTATTACAAGATAATGAGTATAATTCCCTGTGCTATATAGTATATGCTTGTTGCTTATCTATTTTATATATAGTAATTCATATCTGTTAATCCCATACTCCTGATTTGTCCCTCCCCCGGCTCCTCTCCCTTTTGGTAACCACAAGTTTACTTTCTATATCTGTGAGTCTGTTTGTTTTGCATATATAATCATTTGTGTTATTTTTTTTAGATTCCACATATAACTGATATCATGCAGTGTTTGTCTTTCTCTGTCTGATTTATTTCACTTAACATAATATGCTCTGGGTCCATCCATGTTGCTGCAAGTGGCAGTATTTAATTCTTTTTATGGCTGAGTAATATTCTGTTGTGTGTGTTTGTGTGTCACTAAGCCAGTCATCTTTTGATGGGTGTACTTGAGTTGCTTCCATGACTTGGCTATTATAAATAGTGCCACTATGAACACTGGAATGAGAGTTTATTTTCAAATTAGTGATTTAGTTTTCTCTAGATAGTTACCCAGGAGTGAAATTGCTGGATCCTCTATTTTTAGTATTTTAAACTCCATACTGTTTTCTAAAGTGGCTGCACCAATTTACATTCCCACCAGCAGTGTACAAGGGCTCCGTTTTTCCACATCCTCACCAACATTTGTAATTTGTAGACTTTTTGATGATAGCCATTCTGACAGGTGGGAGGTCATACTCATTGTGGTTTTGATTTGCATTTCTCTATTAGCGATGTTGAGCATCTTCTCATGTGCCTGTTGGCCATCTGTATGTCTTTTTTGGAAAAATGTCCATTCAGGTCTTCTGCCCATTTTTCAATGGGTTGTTTGTATTTTGATGTTGAGTTGTATGAGCTGTTTGTATATTCTGGATATTAACCCCTTGTGGGTCACATCATTTGCAAACATTTTCTCCCATTCTGTAGGCTGTCTTTATTTTGTCAGTGGTTTCCTTTGCTGTGCAAAAGCTTTTAATTACACCCCATTTGTTTATTTTTGCTTTTATTTCTTTTGCCTTAGGAGAAAAAATATTTCTGTGATTTATGTCAAAGAGTTTTCTTCTAGGAATTTTATGGTTTCCAGTTTTACATTTAGGTCTTTAAACCATTTTGAGTTTATTTTTGTGTATGGTGTGAGGGAATGTTCTAATCTCACTGTTTTACATATAACTGTCCAATTTCCCCAGCACCACTTAGTGAAGAGACTGTCTTTTCTCCACTGAATATTCTTGCCTCTTTTGTTGATTAATTGACCCCAAGTGCATGGGTTTGTTTCTGGGTTCTGTGTTCTTTTCTATTGATCTATGTGCCTTAGTGCCAATGCCATGCTATTTTGATTACTTTAGCTTTGTAGTACAGTGTGAAGTCTGGGAGGGTTACCCTTCCAAATTCGTTTGTTTGTTTTCAGAATTTCTTTGGGTCTTTTGTGGTTCCAACAAATTTTAGGATTATTTGTTCTAGTTCTGTGAAAAATGTCATGGGTATTTTTATAGGGATGGCATTAAATCTGTAGATTGCTTTAGGTAGTACAGCCATTTTAATACTGATGCTTCCAGTCCAAGAGCATGGTATATCTTTTTATTTCTTTGAATCATCTTCAATTTCCTTCATCAGTGTTTTATAGTTTTCAGAGTATATGTCTTTCACCTGCTTGTGTAAGTTTATTCCTAGGTATTTTTTTTATGTGATTTCAAACAGGATTTTAAAAAATTTCTCTTTATGATATTCATTATGGATTCATTATTGATTATGTGATATTTCATTATTAGTGTATAGAAACAACCAATTTCTGTATATAAATCTTGTATCCTGCAACCTTACTGAATTCACTTATTAGTTAATAGTTTTTGGGTGGAGACTTTAGGATTCTACGTTGAGTATCATGTCATCAGCAAATAGTGACAGTTTTACTTCTTCCCTTCCAATTTAGATACCTTTTCTTTTTCTTATCTGATGTGGCTAGGACTTCCTATATTATGTTACATAGAAGCGGCCATCCTTTTCTTGTTCCTGAATTCAGGGGGAAGGCTTTCAGCTTTTCACCACTGAGTATTATGTTGGCTGTGAGTTTACTGTAAATGATCTTTATTATGTTGAGATATATTCCCTCTATACCCACTTTGATGGGAGTTTTTATCATGACTGGATGTTGAATCTTGTCAAATGCTTTTTCTGCATCTATTGAGATAATCATGTAGTCTCTGTCATTCCTTTTGTTAATGTATATGTAACACTGATTGATTCTTATATGTTGAACCATCCTTGTGTCCCTGGAATGAATTCAGCTCGATCATGGTTGTATGATCCTTTTTATGTATCGTTGGATTCAGTTTGCTAATATTTTGTTGAAGTCTTTTGCATCTATATTCATTAAAAGATTGGCCTGTAATTATCTTTCTATAGTATCTTTGTCTGGTTTTGGTGTCAGGGTAATGGTGGCCTTGTAGAATAAATTTGGGAGTGTTCCCTCTTCTTCAGTTTTTTTGGAATAGTTTGAGAAGAATAGACATAGGTTCTTTATATGTTTGGTATAATTTCCCTGTGAAGCCATCTTGTCCTAGACTTTTGTTTGCTGGGAATCGTTTGTTTGTTTGTTTGTTTTACAGATTCAGTTTCACTTCTAGGGGTCAGTCTGTTCAAATTGTCTTTTTCTTCTTGACTCAGTCCTGGCAGGATGTATGTTTCTAGAAACTGGTCCATTTCTTCTAGGTTGTTAACCAATTTATTGGCATAGAACTGTTCATAGTATTCTTATTTTTTGTATCACTGTAGTATCAGTTGTTATTTCTCCTCTTTCATATTTTATTTGGATCCTCTCTTCTCTTGGTGAGCCTGGCTAAAGGTTTATCGATTTTATTTGTTCAAAAAACCATCTCTTGGTTCACTGATCTTTTCTACTGTTTTTTTTTTTAATCTCTGTTTATTTCCTCTCAGATTTTTATTATTTTCTTCCTTCTGCTGACTTTGGGCTTTGCTCTTTTTTTCTTTTTTTGGTGGTAGGTATGTTAGGTTGAGATTTTTCTTATTTCTTGAAGTTCTGTATCACTATGAACTTCTCCCTTAGAACTGCTTTTGCTGCAGATTTTGAAATGTTGCATTTTCATTTTCAACTTATTTTTATTTCCTCTTTACTTCATTGTTGACTCATTGGTTATTTTAGTAGCATGTTATTTAGTCTCCACATATTTGTTGTCCTCCCATTTTTTTTCCATAGTTGATTTCTCATTTCATACCACTGTGGTCAGAAAAAAATGCTTGATATAATTTATATCCTCTTAAGCTTAAGCAATTTTTTTTATGACCTAGTATGTGATCTATCCAGGAGAACATTCCATGAGCACTTGAAAAGCATGTGTATTCTGCTTTCTTTGGTGATAGTGTCCTGTAGATATCAGTTAAGTCCAACTCGTCTATTGTGTCATTTAGGACCTCTGTTGCCTTTTTGATTTTGTCTGGATGATCTGTCCGTTGATATAACTGAGGTGTTAAAAGTCCCCTGCTATTATTGTATAAATGTCAGTTTCTCCCTTTATGTCTTTAGTATTTGTTTTATATATTTAGCTATTCCTGTATCAGGTGCATATATATTAATGAGTGTAACAGCCTCTTCTTGTATTGATTCCTTTAACATTATATAAGGCCCTTTGTCTTTCTTCATAGCCTTTGTTTTATTCTGTTTTGCCTGATAGGGGTATTGCTCCCCTTGCTTCCTTGTCATCTTTTTCCATCCCCTCACTTTCACTCTGTATTTGTTTGGTCCTGAAGTGGGTCTTCCGTAAGCAGCATATTGAAGGATCTTGCTTTTTTATCCAGTCAGCCACTCTGTCTTTTGAATGGGAACATTTAGTCCATTGACATTGAAGGTAATTATTGATAGGTATGTAGTTACTGCCATTTTATTCCGAGTTTTTCAGTTGTTTTTGTAGTTCATCTTTGTTCATTTCTTCTTTTTGTTTATCCCATTGTGGTTTGATGTTTTTCTTCTGAAGTATGCTTGAGTTCCTTTCTTTTTGGTTTTTGTGTATCTGTTGTACATTTTTGATTTGTGGTTACCATGGAGTGTATGTATGTTGACCCATAATTCTACCTACTTGCTTTAAACTGATAATTTAAGTTCAAACACATTCTAAAAGATCTATTTTTTATACCTGATATAGATCTTTATGCTTATCCCTTTACTGTTTAGTGTAGTTACTTTTATAATTTTTTTAAGCTATATACTGGCTTAATGAAGTGATCTTCAATCTTCACTACATATTTGCCTTTCCTATTGGGATTTTTCCCTTTCCTAGACTCTTCTTTTCCATGTAGAGAAGATCTTTCAACATTTTTAGGGTAGGTTTAGTATTGCTGAATTCTTTTAGTTTGCTTGTCTGAGAAATTCCTTATGTCTCCTGTTCTAAATGATCATCTTTCTGGGTTGAGTATCCTAGGGTGTAGATTTTTCCCTTTCAGGACTTTGAATCTATCTTGCCATTCCCTTCTGGCCTGCAAGGTCTCTGCAGGAAAATCAGCTAATAGCTTTATGGGGATTCCCTTGTATATGACTTTGTTTTCCTCTTGCTGCCTTTAGAATTCCTCTTTAAAGTTTGCCATTTTAACTGTGGTATTTCTTCGTGTGGGGATTTCTTGGTGTTGGGGGGTCTGTTTGGGTTCATCTTATTTGGGATCCTCTGTGTTTCCTGTACCTGGATATGTTTCCTTCTTTCGGTTTAGGAAGTTTTCAGCTATAACTTCTTCAAATACATTTTCAAATCCCTTCTCACTTCTGTTTCTGGAACCCCTATACTGCAGATGTTGGCACATTTTCCATTACCATGTAGATCTCATATGTTCCTTT